GCGCAGCCTTGACCTGAGTTCTCGTCTAGAGATAGGCAGTCCTAGTCCCTAACAACACATCTTCCACAGATAGCGACCTCTCATTCGCTCGTCCGCGCCCGTCACTGCTAGTCGGGGCACTCCCGGCGTACGGCCCGGTCCCGGTCGTCACTCCGGTTGCTCGTGTTCACACCGTCAGAACTCAGCTCCGCTAAGGATCCAGCGTCTGAGACTTGGGCATCTTACACAACTTTTGTAGTAGAGCACAATGGCACCCTTGCATCAAGTGCATCACTTCATTACTAGACCGTACTAGAGGTCCCCGTTTTCGGCCGCCGCGGCCGGAGAGCACCCCCGTCGCCCCCGGGGGCCCGTCGACACCCCAGGGGCGAAGTGGGTCGCGTCCCTCGATTTTGTTCAACCCAGCATCCACACCCTTTAGAGTAGGAAGCTAGGCAGAGGCCGCATCGCGTCAGCTGTATACGTTTTACCCAAAACCGAAACCAATCGCAATCCACGGATCTCCAAACCAAAAAGGGATGAAATCCCTTATGGATATAATCGCCAAATTATGTATGTAAAAAGGAGAGCGCAAAGATTTCGTCAGGGACGGGGAACTGGAAACGAATCGGAAACGAATCGGAACCCGGAAACGCATATAAGCAAGAACGTCGAATATACAACTGTAGGAACGAGATGGACGTCCGATCGGAACGCAATCGCAGTTCGCGAGGGTCGGGAAACTGGAAGAGGCCCGCATGTCGGAGCGGGCGCGGCACACGGGAGACGGGGTGGCGCGGCGAAAGGCGCACCAGGAGCGGCAGCGCGACGAGCGCGAGCAGCGGGAGGAGGCCGACAGGGCGGCGGGGATCGCCCTGCCGCCCGAAGAGGGCGGCGTCGAGTTGGTGAGCGCATGGACACCCTTTAGCGCCTTTAGGGCCTCCGCGAGACTGCGTCTGCGAAGAGAGATAGGAGGAGGCGGACGCCCAAGGGTGGGCGACGGCTAGCGCATCACACCCCTCCCTTCATGGCGAAGCGCTGCAGCGGCGACGGCGTCCGGCTGTGCGGCACTCCGGGCTGCACGCTGCCCGACTTCCACGCCGGGCCCTGCTCCAACGCGGCCTCGCTCGGACGCCGCCGCGAGCACAACATCAAGCTGCCGTACAATGAAAAGGCGGCGCAGCAGCTGCTGCGGGGCGAGGCGGCGGCCATCAAGGCATCGAAGCGGGAGCAACGCGAGCGCAAGAAGCAGCAGCGGCCCGTCGCCGCTGAGCGGCCAGTCTCGCCGCCGCCGCCGCAGCAGCGCTTGCCGAGCGGCCTCGCGCGCTTCTACCACCCGCTCGAGTGGGGCGTGCCGCTGCGCGAGGGGCCGGTGGAGGCGGACCCCGTGCCGCCGTCGTGGCGGCACGAGGCGGGCGCGTGGCAGCTCGAGCAGGCGGCTGACCGCATCCGCAGCCGCCGCGGCGTCGGTGAGGCGGAGGCTGCCTTTATGGATCTGTGGAACGGGGCGGTGCAGCGGTCGGAGCGCAGCCGGCTGGTGAGCGACCGGTGCCTGCCCGCCCTCTGCCGCGCCTTCGCGGTCCAGCACGCCGCCGAGCTCCGCGGCCTCGCCGCCCCCTTTCGCTCCCACCTCGAGGTCCTCAGGCAGCACAACCTGCTGCACCCGGAGGATGTGCGTGACTGCCTCGTGCTCTCCTCGCCCGACGCCGCCGCCGCCTCTCCGTGCGCCCGCTGCTCGCGCCCGCGGCACGAGCGGCACTGCCCCCTCCACGGAGTCCGGCGCGGGGCTGCTTGCTGGCCGACGGCAAACGGGGCCGGCGGGACGTCGACGGTGAGCGCTGCGGACGTGCTCACCATCGTGGGCAAGGAGTGTGAGGTGTGCGGCAGTCCGCGCGACGCCGAGAGGATGCTTCTCTGCGACGGCTGCAACAAGGGCTTCCACCTCGGCTGCCTCTCGCCGCCGCTCGCCGCCATCCCGGAGAGCGATTGGTATTGCGCAGCCTGCTCGCCCCCCGCCGCGGCGGCTGCGCCCAGCGAGGCCGACGGGCGAGGCAAGAAGCGGAGGGTCGGGTGACTGACCCACCCTCTGACGGCGTCACGGCGCGCTCTCACTTGACGTACGTATGGATGGCCACATCGCATTTGTGTGCGTCCCGGCAGATATCTCACTCTCCCCTTTACGTCTGTACTGAGCCTTTAGAGAGAGCCACGTGTACGTGTAAGCAATCGCCTCTTGTGTAACGACAGAGTCACAAGAGAAGTCAGATCTCAGAAGAGACCGCGGGGCGTGCGTACGTCCTGGACCTCCTGGTGTGGTCCACGCCCGAAATAGAGCAGAGCCGGAGAGCGAGCGCGGCCGCCCTCCGGCTCCGCGAGGACCTCCGCACCCCCACTATGTCAAAACTACAGGGGTAGGCAATGAAACGGAGCTTTGCGCCCTTTCCCACCCGCCGGGGGGGCACCCAGGCCGGCCACCTGATCGGTAGTGGTGGACGGGAGGCGCGAACAGCGCCATCTTGGGGTCTACACGCCGACCAGTGCTCCCGTCAGTGACCAGGAAGAGGGGCTGCGTGGCCTTCTCAGCCGCCGGCCGCGCGTCCGTGTGGTCTACAGTTAACGAACCACGAGCCCTGCTTCCGTTTTAACACAAATTGGGTGGCGAACTCGGCGCCCATAGCTCTGGCTCGAGTTTTAGCGATTATGTCGCGAAACGCATTAGCCGCTACATCGAAATTGCCGAGGTAGCCGAAATCACAGCTTCCGCTGTAGCGGCTAATGCGTTCTCCGAGGTCATGATCGTGGGCGGAAAACGAACCGGCACCCCGGCGGGGCACCTTACGGGCTGTGTTAAAACGAGAGCTAAGGTCCCGATTTCACAGTGGGCCGCAGGAAAAGACACGCGATGAACCCGCACCCATCGAGCTAGCTTCGAGGCGCCTTCAAAGCAGGTCGCAATGGCGCCGAAGAAGAAGCCTGCACACGGCCGCAAGGCCAAGGGCGTCATGCAAGGCGCTCATCGTCCTCCAAAGGAGGTCTCTGGTGCAGCCGGCTCGCGCGGTCCGTCTGAGCCCTCGTCACGATCGGAAGCACCACAATACGAGGCTGTCGGCGGCGAGTGGGTGGTGTGCCAAAAGCAGGCGCGCAGTCAGCGAGCTGAAGCCGCCCAAAAGGCCTCTCGCGCGTCTACCGTCCAAAAGGCGCGGCAGCCCGCCGCAGCCGCCGCCTCCAAGGCTGGGCAGACCGCCTCCGCTTGCGTTCGCCAACCCGGCTACGGCAAAGGTCGGTCACCCGCGACCGCCACAGGCGCCAGGACGGCGCAGCGGCCTCGCCTTGAGGACTCGCAGCTGACTAGCGCCGCTGGCGTCGCGACGGGTAGCCTCAGCGTGCAGCTGGCGGAGGCTGCGGCCGCAGACGCACTCGAGGCCCTCGAGACCGGTGTGCAGACTAGGCAATCTGCGTTGGCGAGGTCGCAGCTGCTGCGAGCGCAGCGGGCGGAGATTGAGACTGCGCTCGCCAATCTGCGCGAGCTCTGGCAGGAGAAGGAGCGCGACATGCTGCGCCTGCTCTCCAACCCGCAGGCTGCGTGGGGCACAGATGCCGTCTGGCAGCTGTCCATGGCCGAGTTTGCCTTGGAGACCATGGACGAGAACGCCGTCGCACTCAAGCCTCGCCGGCTAGGAATGTGCTTTCGCGCGCTTGCCGAGCAGGCGCGGCACCCCGACGAGATCCCGCGCCTCCGCGGGCTGTACGAGCTGCACGCCCTCCACGCGGTGCTGCAGCGCAGCCCCAGCCTCCAGCGCGAGCTGCGGGTCCAGCTCGAGCGCTTTAAGCGACAATACTGCTCGTTGCTGCGCGGCGCCGGACGCTTTCGCACGCTCGAGGTCCTGCCCGGCGAGACGATCCTCGAGCTTATGCGGCGCACTCACGTGGCCATGCTCTCGTGGCGGCCTCCCGGCAGACCCGGCGCGGCGGCGTCGACCCTGGCGCTGCCCGCGAGCCGAGCGGGGGGTATCTACCTCCCAGAATGGCGAGAGGAGACGAACGTGCTCTACCATTCGGCGGCGGGTAAGACCCTCTCGCTGCGTGGCGCGCAGGGCGTCGCCACGGCCTGCTCGAAGCGGTACCTGAAGTCGCTCCCGGAGGCGGAGCGGCCGCAGCACGAGAGCCACGAGACGGTCCGCTTGCACGACATGCAGTTCTGGTTCGTGCAGCGCCAGAGAGCTGTGGAGAACTCCTTCTCGAAGCGGCGAAACGTGCTGCAGTGGGACGAGGTGACGATCAACAAGGTGGCCTGGGTCGTCGTCACGCTGTCGTGCGAGAGGCTGCCGGCGCTGCGTGAGCGCGAGGTGATCGCCACCTTTAAGCTCCGGCCAGACGCCGATGGCCACAAGAAGACGGGCGTGAACGTCGGCGCGAGCAACGTGCGCGCGGTCAACGAGCTCGGCCTGCCGATCGATCGGATCGACTTCTGCGTCTCCGACGGCACCGCCTCCAATGCCAGCTTGACCATTGCGTCGGAGCGGCACAAGGGCGGCGCCTTTGCGCACATCTGGACCTCGATGCGTGCGGCAAAGCACGTGCTGTGCTTCTTTATCCTCTGCTTGTCCCACGTGATCAACAACGAGGTGAAGAATGTCTGCGAGGCGGCTGGTGCCTGCCGCCGCGAGCACCTGCTCGCGCACTCGGGCTCCACCAAAAGCGGACGGCATCGCATCCCGGAGGCGCGCCACGCCCGACGTAAGAGGCGCTCACACACCCCTCCAACGCTTCCCCACGCTCCCTCTGACGCAGCTGCTGGCCGACGTCGTGCTCGCCGTCAAGGAGTCGAAGGGCTGCAAAAACTATGTCCGCGTCTCGGAGGGGCTGGCGCGTCTCGGCGACATGCCGGGAGGCGTGGACACCCGGTGGCTCTACTGGGTGTACACGTGCATGTGGCTGGCGCCCACGACGCGGCGCCTCGAGCTGATCGTGTGCTGTCTCTTGCACGAGTGGCTCTGCGCGCAGGGCGACGAGGGGCTCTTTGCCGACGCCGAGCAGACCGACGAGTTCGGTGAGAAGCTGGCGCTGACTGGCGCCACGCTGCTCGAGAAGGTGAGCTCGATCAAGGACGCCGCGCGGCGCGAGCTGCTGCTTGAGCTCCTCGACCCGGAGATACGCGTGTGGCTCTCGTTCCTGGCCATCTACGGCGAGCGGTCGGCCGACCGCTTCCTCAAGTTTACCGAGAACGACGGGCCGGGCGTGGCGTTCAAGGCACCCCGCGTGCTTCGCCTGCGGCTCGCCTACCTCGACGCGCTCGCCAGCGACAACGACGAGACGCGCGACCTCGAAGGCGGCCGTCCATGGAAGGGCGACTTTGCGCCGCTGCGAGCAATGGTCGCCAAGAACACGGCGGCGTTCTCGCGCCTGGATGTGCGGGCCATCGTGCGCAAGGCCGCACGCGCT